CATCCATCCATCCATCCATCCATCCATCCATCCATCCATCCATCCATTATCTTCTGCTTGCTCCAGTTGGGTTGTGGGGGCAGCAGCTTGAACAGGGAGGCCCAGACATCTCTTTCCACAGCACCTCTTCCAGCTCTTCTGAGAGGACTCCAAGGTGTTCCCAGGCCAACCGAGAGACCAATAGTCTCTCCAGCGTGTCCTGGGTCTTCCCCGGGGTCTCATCTCAGTTGGAATGCCCGAAGCACCTCTCAATGGAGGCGCCCAGAAAGCATCCTTACCAGATGCCTGAACCACCTCAACTGGCTCCTCTTTTTTTTTTTTTTTTTCTTAGATGGCCTCCCTTCTCCCCTTACAGCCATCCTCTCCACACCATTATTATGAAATATTTATTCTAGTGATTATCTAGTGTAGTTTTTTTTTTAATAGGATAGAAAGAAAGAAAAGACAAAGTAAGACTCCAAAATATAAGAAATATACACAAAGAGAGCACACGTCAAAACACCCGGCCACTGTCTGTTCGCCTGCAAAGAACATGACAAAACACAGCAACAAAATACATATGTATAAAGAACTTAAAATATTCATGGCTTTGCAGTAAGTTTTCATAAATATATATACCCATACCTACGCCTATATACATACATACATACACATGAATATACATTCATATACATATCTATATATCTACATATAAAGCCTACATAAGCATCCCTGCTTCTATTTGTGTGTGGTTGTGAGCATGCATAAGTGTATAAGGCTTCTCTAATAGAACATTTAATAGTAACTGTGAAGCAGCAGAGACCCAACCCCCAAGACCAGAGGCAGACGAAAAAGGGGGGACCAGAGCCCAAGACCCCAGGAGGGACCCCGACCGCGGAGCCCCCAGGGCCACCCACACAGGACGAACCACTCACCCACCCCTCAGATCGGACCACAGGGGAGAACCGGAAGATCCCCACCAGCAACCTCTTCGTGCCGGGGGGTGTCCTGTCGGCTGGGCGTGGCCTGGGCCGGGTCTGGGATATTGGCTCCTCTCCGCTCGAGAATGAATGGGTCTACCTCCTGGGTTTGGGCATGGGCTGCCCCCGGTAGAGGGCGGGTACATGTCTTGGACCTGGGGGGTATAGAGTGCGTATCGGGAACAAGAATGAAATGTATTGTTATTGTATGTCTTTGAGTGAGTGAGTGTGAGAATGAGGCTGGGACTGTGTGATTGTGTCTCTGTATGAATGGGTATTTGTTAGGCCGAGACTCGGACTGCCCCCTCTTTGATACAACTGGGGGTGCTTGGCATCGCGCCCCTATCACGCGGCCCCCTGGTGGGGTGTGCCCTTGCCTGCCGGCGCGCTTGGGACCCTTGGTGTCGGGGGCTGGGCGCTTGGGCGTGTGTCGGCTCGGCCTGGTGTCTGCCTGGTGGGGCTCAGTCCTCTGGCCCTGTCAGGCCTTGGCCTGGGTGGTGTGAGTCCTCTGTGCCCGGGCCTCGGTGCCCGGGCCTGGACCTGCATCGGTGCGGTGGGTTCCGGCGGGGGCCTATGAGTTTGTCGCTGTTGGCCCCGGGGGGTCACTGTATGTGGTCAACTGGCTCCTCTTGATGTGGAGGAGCAGCGGTTCTACTCCGAGTCTCTCCTGATAACTGAACTTCTCACCCCATCTCTAAGGGCGAGTCCAGCTACTCTGCGGAAAAAACTCATTTCAACCACCTGTATCTGTAATCTCACTCTTTCGGTCACTACCCAGAGTTTGTGACCATAGGTGAGGGTAGGAACATATACCAACCGGTAAACAGAGAGCTTTGCCTTACAGCTCAGCTACCTCCTCACCACAACAAATCAGTACAGGGTCCGCAGTACTGCAGATGCTGCAACAATCTGTCAATGTCACGCTCCATTCTTCCCTCACTTGTGAACAGAACTCTTAAGATAACCTCACTGTCATCAGAACCACTCTGCCAGTAGGACTGTGCTACTGTGGATTTATTTATTTTTCACTTTTGATCACTTGTTTCTGTATTTTTGTTGCATGCTTTGATTAAATCCTAATTTATGTTGTTTAGTTTATGTTAGTGCTCGCATTAAGCGTGTAAATTATAGCTGAACAGATTACTATTTGCGGTTGATCTGGTACTGTTGGCATCATTGTGCCATGATCTCCAGCTCTCATTGGAGCAGTTCACAGCCGAGTGTGAAGCAACTGGGATGAGAATATAAAAGGGTGGATTGCTCCATTTGAATCGAGGGTGAGGTGAGGTGCATGATACTGTTAGCAGTGAGGTTTCACTTAGCAATATGGTCCCGTTGGCACTGTGGGACTGTTACCCGCCTAGTTCGGTTAGCGGCATGCAGTGATGGCATAGTTACATTGAAAAAGTAGCTTAGTTAAGTTACTGATTACTTGATTTGAAAAGTAACTAAGTTAGATTACAAGTTACTTTATTAGTTACTTTCAGAAGCTGCTGACAATAACCTTCCGCCACATCAACATAAAAATTACATTGAGCTTTGTCAATACTTACTTTATTGAAAGTGCATTTTAATGGTGACATCAACAATGTATCTCCTGACATATAAGGTTGCACTTAAAAACCATTTCAGGTAAAAAATACATATATAAAAAAAAACGGTCTTTCTTGACTTCATTAAACATAAATACTTGTTTTTGCAAAAAATTAA